GAATTTGTTAAAAAAAAAGTATCAGGTACAGGTATATTTGATATTTATAGGTATTTAATTTGTTTAGGTAGGTATTTTATTTATATTTGTAAAGAGATAGTTAAATATCATGTATAAAAAATATATTCCTACTAAGTATCGGGTAAATATTGGATATGAGGGTCAATACTTATATACTTGACTCATATATCTGACCTGTATATTTAACTTATATATTTGTTTTATATTCTAGTTTTATATGTTTAATTTGTAATATAATATTATGAAATTAACATGTTTTTTTTTCTTCTAATAATGAAGATTCAACAGAAGGAAAATTATGTGGATTTTTATTTGTATTTCTTTTGTTATTATATATATATATAAACTTGTGTATATATATAAGTGTATATTCTCATGTATTTTATTTTATATATAAACTTATATTATATGTATGAACTTATAATTATATATTAACTTATTTATTTTTAATATAAAATTTAATAAGTATATAAATATACCATGTGGAAATATTATGGGTATAAATTTCCAATAGCGAGATGAATATTGGGTGTTGAAATCTTATACCTGTTGCCATTCAAATCAGATACAGGAACGAGCAAATACTGACCCACACCTACCCTCTACGTGAAATTACAGGTCTATCCACGGCCCAGGCCCAAAATAAAAAATGTATAAATTTTTTATTTTTTATTTTTTCTCCTTCCTCCTTAGTCCCTCCCTCCCTACCCTCCCCTCCCCTCTCTCAAATCCCACCTAGCCAATGCTTTCTGGCCCTTCCTCCAGGTTCTCGTAATCCTCTTCCTCCCCTCCATAAATTATTACCATATTTGAAAATTTTTAAATTAAAAAATCAGAAACCCTTGGAATGCATAGACTCCCACTACGTCAAGAAACTCCATCCTTTTCTCGCCTCCTGGCTTCCCTATCCCCCGTAACCAAACAACCCCCTCTTAATTTCTTCTTCCTCAAACCTAATATTGTTTGATCCCATTCCCACCCCCCGCTTTTTCCCCCTGTTCTTTTTCGCCATTTCAATTCCCAATCTCTCTCCTTTTTTCAGGATTCTGCTGCCTTTATTAGGGTTTTGATTATCTCTACAGGCCCCGCCCATTGCCTTACTTCCTCTAGTTTTTTTTTTCTTTGAATATTGATTTGGCTAGGGTTTTCTGTTTCCCGGGTTTGGTAGCTTTTGGTTGTAATTTGAGGAGGGGAGGATCAATCTGGGTTTTCTGTTTTTGGGTTGTATTTTACTTCTAAAACACCCTGGTCCTGTGGAAAGTATTTGCAGGACTTGCAATTTTGTTCTTGTAAAGCGATGATAAAACAATGAGACTTTGATTCTCAAGTTTACTTCTTTCTCCACAGATTCAGGAGGAAACTTTACATATATTGAATACCAATCCATTTTCAGAATCAAGTCACTCACTGCTTTTTTTCTTGAACTTTCTTGTTTCTGAATTTTTTTTTTTTTGAGCTATATTTTGCTTCCACTTATATTTTTTCTGGGCGAGGTGTTGGTTGGGTTTTGAAAGACGGGTAAGTTTCTTGTTTGGGAAAGTGTTTGGATTGCATGGGCGAGCATGGGGGGTGGGCGCCGCCACCTAGTGGGCTATTGCCAAATGGTTTATTGCCCAATGAGGCCGCCTCGGTGATCCGGGTACTAGACTCAGAGCGATGGCAGAAGGCAGAAGAGAGAACTGCCGAGCTTGTCGCCTGCATCCGGCCCAATACTCCTTCGGAAGAAAGGAGAAATGCTGTAGCCGAATATGTCCGGCGCCTTGTCATGAAGTGCTTCCCCTGCGAGGTTTGTTCTCTTGACATACCAGTGATGCTAAATATTTTTCTTTTCCTTGAAAGTTTGATGTTTTCATAGTCTATGTAAGTGCAATATTTGAATAATTGTGTGAGCTGCTGTTTTCCAAGTTCAAATCGTGTAGTTTTTACTTTTATGTCATTGAATGTTGAAATAAATAGCCTTTCCACTTGGGTTATTTAGTTTATTGAGCAGTTTCTTTTTCTCTTCTTGGTTTATATCACAAATAAACCTTTTCATGTTTATTTTATCCACAGGTTTTTACTTTTGGTTCTGTACCCCTCAAGACGTACCTTCCTGATGGAGATATTGACTTAGTAGCCTTCTCCAAGAATCAAAACTTGAAGGAGACATGGGCTCATCAGGTTCGTGATATGCTGGAAAATGAAGAAAAGAACGAGAATGCCGAATTCCGAGTAAAGGAGGTTCAATACATTCAAGCAGAAGTAAGCACAATCAATTTCCAATAAGGCTTTAATTTCCTCACAATTGCCGTTTTTGAAATTTTCATCCTTCAGTTCTGTTATAATTTCAGTTTTTGAAATTTGCATTGAATACATTGTTCACAGTGTCTGACCTTTGTTCATCTCTAATTAGTAGAAATTTCCTAGATCATCCGCATGTAAGATGGATATTTTTTACTAAAAATATTTCCAAAATGCATGATTTGTCTTCTCAGTATCACCTCCATGCCTTGCCTCTCTAACAATAAAAAATGACTGATGAGTTGCATATTTGAAACTAATTTTAGACCATCACTGTATAATATGTCTCACCATTATCAAGGGGAAATCTTCAATCAATTTCATTTATCATTCAGCCATTGGCTAGAAGGAAAAACCTGTTTCAGCTGACTGATTGTTGTTTACTAAATTGTATATTATCTCTGGATGTTGCTTGCATAAAGATTTATAGTAAATATATATATATATATATTCTATCATAATAATTTTTATACTTGTTTGTTCCTTTCCTAAATTTTCAGGTGAAGATTATTAAGTGTCTTGTGGAAAATATTGTGGTAGACATATCGTTTAATCGGCTTGGTGGGTTGTGTACCCTTTGCTTCCTTGATAAGGTTTGTGCTGCTTCTTTTAGAACCTTGCACTGTGTCTTTCTCCATGAATGATAGACTATGATAACATTTTACATCTTATGCTAACTTGCTTTTTATGCCTGTAGGTTGATCTTTTCATAAAACGAAATCACTTGTTCAAGCGTAGCATCATATTGATCAAGGCCTGGTGTTATTATGAGAGCCGCATACTGGGTGCTCATCATGGGCTTATCTCAACTTACGCCCTGGAAACCTTGGTTCTTTACATATTCTATGTTTTCAATAATTCCTTTGCTGGACCACTTGAGGTGTTTATTTATTTATTTATTTTCATTTCTATTTCTACTTCTTTGTCTTGATGTCTGTGTCTTGTCTGTACATGGCTCTGAAAGTTGTTTTCCTTGGTTGCTAGGTCCTTTATCGTTTTCTGGAGTTCTTCAGTAAGTTCGATTGGGACAATTTTTGTGTTAGCCTCTGGGGTCCTGTACCAATTAGTTCACTGCCTGATGTAAAAGGTGTGTAGGATTGGTTAAAAATCTAGCTGGTCCTACAATTTCTCATTGTTTCCCTGTTTGCTAGGAACTAATATTCTCTGTTATATATTTGCAGCGGAACCTCCTCTAAAAGATGGTGGAGAGTTGCTACTTAGCAACTTAATTCTTGATGCATGTTGCTCTGTCTATAATGCTTCCCTAGGTGGCCAAGAAAATCAGGGGCAACCCTTTGTTTCTAAACATTTTAATGTGATTGACCCTTTGCGCATAAATAACAATCTTGGCCGTAGTGTTAGTAAAGGTACTTAAATTTATAACTCTAATGGTTATTGTATGGTTGATATGTTATATTTTTGTTTTCGATCTCTTAACATTCTCTTAACATTCTCTTAACATGCAGGATCTTTTAAAACATTGTCTGCTGCAAGCATTCACTTTTAATCCTAGTTTTTGTAGTAGTGCATGTGCATGGCATTTATTATGATGAATTTAAAAATTAAAATTAACCTGAAATTTGGAGAGTCATAAAAAAAGTTGATATTATTGTTTCTCATATAAAGTTGATATTATGAGATTCAAACTTGTGAAAACAAGGTTGTAGACTGTTATTCAAAGAATGGAGATGATGAAAATTTACTCTTCTTCTACATTTTTGTGCATTTGTTAACTGCTAATTGCCTAAGCTTGTCAACATTATGGAAAAATGTATTGTTAAGTTCTGTTGTACACAACTGTCTTTCCATAAATTGCTAGGTTTTTGGTATTGTTTTGATGCCTTGGCATGATTTTTTATGATGTTTGAATTGTCAATGATAATTATGTTTCTTCTATGCAAACTTGATTATAGTTATTTCCTGGTGCATATGTAATGCACTTTCTCCAGGTAACTTCTTTAGGATACGAAGTGCCTTTGCATTTGGAGCTAAAAGGTTGGCAAGATTACTTGATTGTCCCAAAGAGGACCTGTTTTATGAAGTAAATCAATTCTTTTTGAACACATGGGAAAGGCATGGAAGTGGCCATCGCCCAGATGCCCCAAGGAATGAGTTACGGTGCTTGAGGTTGTCAAACCCTGATAACCAACATGGATCTGAAAATGTTAGGAACAACTCAAGTGGAAAAAGAAATGATGTTTCCTCTGGGCATGGATCTCAAGCTGATGTGATGCATGGATCACATAATGTTCCTCTAGAATATGCTAACTATAACTCAGAAAGCACATCTCGGATGAGTGATAATTCTACAGCTTCTCTTGCTGAAAGCCAGACGGGGTATGGTAAATGGAGCAAGTCAAGGACCTCTGAGCAGATCAGACAAGATAACAGTTCTAATCAGAAAAGACAGAATCATAAAGGTCAGAGAAGTTCAAAACCTGAGAATTTGGTAGCTGATGTTCAAGGAAGATTTCTTTTTGCAAGGACACGCTCTAGCCCTGAGCTTTCTGAAACTTACAGTGAAGCTTCTTCTCAAGGAAGGCACAACAGAGCCCCAGAAAGTGGGAGAGCCCAGGTTACTTCTACAAGGTTGGAAAACAACAGGAGGAAGAACCTGGAAACTGATGTGACAGGCCATGGTATTAGATCTTCAACTGATGAGCCTTCACCTGTTAGCCATGTGTCCTCCCATCAAAGTAATGATGCCTCTGATTCAAACAGTCAAGTAAATACTTACCAAGATGATTTGGTTATGAGTGCCATGAGTGAAGAGTTCCCTTTTGTTGGGGAGACACAAGGAATGCATCAGGAAGAACAAGACTTTATCAACATGATGGCATCCTCTACAGCTCATAGCTTTAATGGGCAAGTTCATTTTCCACTAAATTTAGCTTCTGGTCACCTACCCGTTCCAATCCCACCTGTTCTGACATCAATGTATGCTCAGAGAAATTTTGGTGGAATTGTTCCCACAAATGTTCCACTGATTGAGACTCCACTGAGCACTAATATGCAATTCCCACAAGGTTTAGTTTCTCCACCATTGACCCATTGTTTCCCTGACATTGGTTTGGCTTCCAATACAGAAGATTCAATTGAACCTGGTAATGAAAATTTTGGTTCCTCGAAAATGAACCAAGCGGAGGGGGAGAATGATTTCTGGAATGAGCAAGACCTGAGATCAAATACTGGTTTTGATCTTGATAATGGAAATTTTGAAATTTTTCATTCAGATGACAAGCAACAGTCAACTTCAGCTGGCTACAACTCTGTTCCTGCAACTAGGATAGGTGGTTCTGGAAGTTCTGGAAGATTCCAGCAGAAGTTCACCAAAGAAACTCAAGGATCAATGAGGGAAGATCATGCTGATAATTTCCAGTATCAAGATAACAGTGGTAATGACTCTTACTTTGATGATAGAACTACAAGTTCTAGATCTGTTCCTGGTTCACATGATGGTTCTTTAAGTAAAACCTCATCTGAGGGTTCCTTGGAAGGATCATCAGCTAAGGTATCAAAGTCATCTAGGGAGAGGCGAGGTAGGAAAACAGCCTCTTCTGGAGTGCCATCTGCTGCATATGGGAAAGGTAAGAGTTTATCTGAGCACTCTTCTCAGGCAGATGATGATAGCAGAGACTGGAATCTGCCATTGACAATGGGCACTGAGATCGCCAAAAGAAATACAGGAGCTCAACCAGTTTCTTTGCATGTTCCCAGGCATCAACTGGCTGGATTTGAACCAGCTCAGACTAGTGGATCAGATTCACTGATACCTGTGACTCCAGTGCAATTAGGTCCAAGTTCACAGCCCTTTGCCTTTCTTGCAGGGCCTTCGGTTACATTTGTGCCAATGCTTCAACTGTACAATTTCCCAACTGGAACAGGAACTTTGGACGCTTCAACAAGCCATTTTAGCACAGATGAAGGTTTGGGTAATGGTGATTCTGGTCAAAATTTTGATTTACCTGAGGTACTTGATCATTCTGAGGTTTTGAGTGCCACTGATGCTTCAAGGGTTACTTCTGTTGAGCCATCTGAACACAAGCCTGACATCCTTAACAGTGATTTTGCTAGCCATTGGAAAAATCTGCTGCATGGACAGTCTTGCCAAAATTCACAATATACTCCACCACTGGTTTATCCTTCGCCTGCTATGGTGCCACCCGTCTATTTGCAGGGACATTTTCCATGGGATGGTCCTGGTAGACCTCTTTCCAACAACTTGAATACCTTCACTCACTTCTTGAGTTATCATCCTCATATAGTTCCTGTTGCTCCTCTTCAGTCCGTTTCTAATAGACCTACCAGTGTTTACCAGTGGTATCTTGATGACATGCCAAGATATTGGAATCGGAGTGGCACTGGCACCTTTCTGCCAAATCCTGTAAGTCACATTTTTATGGATTGTGGAGAGCTTCATTGTGTGCTTTCAACTCCCTCTATTCCTCAACTCAAGTTTTTGAACCTTGCAATACTCATCTGTTCTTTCCCTCTTTCTCTTTATTTTGTGTTTATTCAAATGGGCATGTTGAGATTTCAATGGTATTCTTTTTTCCTGCTTTTTATCATTTGTAGTTAAACAAAAAAAGGAAAAAAAAAAAAAAAAGGAAAAAAAAAAGGTGCATCAATTTTCAGGTAATTAAGCTGTTTGCTTTCTGGTTGGTTTTAGTAACATTTGTCTTGGTAGTAACTTAAGGTCTTGGTGCATTTATTAGTTATTACTGAGTGTTTGTTTTGCTTTTCTATAAATTTTTCATGCAATTCTGAATAATGGTGGTCTATTGTTCAGAAGCTTTTGTTTCATTATGTTTGGTCATTTTTACGTGAAGGCTTTCAGGGTTTATCTTAAATTTTATTTTGCTTTACTTCACAAGGTTTCAGTGAGGGAACGCCATTCTGTAAGTACGAGAAGGGGGAATTATAGCTATGATAGAAGTGACCACCATGGTGATAGAGAAGGGAACTTGAATCTGAGTTCAAAGCCACGAGCTGGAGGGCGCAGCCATAATCGCAGCCAAGCTGATAAACCAACATCGAGGTCTGACCGGTTGGCAGCTGCTGAGAGCCGAACCAACAGGCCTTGGGGCTCACATAGAAATGACTCATTTCCTTCATACCAGTCTCAAAATGGTCCAGTACGCTTAAACTCAACACACAGTGGTTCTGCTAATGTAGCGTATGGCAGGCATCCAGTAGCAACCCTGAATCCAAGTGGGGTGTCATCTAATGGCCCCAACATTCCATTTTTTGTCATGCTGTATCCTTATGATCATACCACTGGTTATGGTTCCCCTGCGGAACAGCTTGAGTTTGGTTCCCCTGGACAAGTGAGTTTCTCTGGCATGAATGAAACATCACAGCTAAGTGA